CTATTTACTTTTTTGTATTTTTTGATACCCTTTGTAAACCATTACAGAATCAGAAAAAGTAGATAGATTAAATAAAAAAGAAAGACAAGATTACGATAGAAAAAGAAAGAGGACACGATTTAGAAAACGGATTACAGAAAGGTGGCGCAACCAAAATTGCAAAATTGGAGAGCCAAGAAATGTAGCAGCAAATCCAGAATGTAAATCAATGATAATATGGAAATTTTGTAACTTAAGAATACTGTAACGCTTGAATTTCAGTAATTTGAATGTAAATTTGGTCAGGAAATGAAACAAAAAAGTAGCAATCAAATTTCTCAAGTTCTGGAAAAGAGAAGAACACCTTTTCAGTTGAAAGCAAACTACTAAACAATCTATGAGCTTTAAAAATAAAGCTAGTTTTCATAATTGTACTGTATCGTACTGTATATGTTGTGACGATCTCGTGATCGAGATCACCACGGATGGAAATGGCCAGCCAGACACCATTGTGGGCGAACGCCTATCGGCTTTGGCTTTGGAAGAACGAGGCTTTGGAAGATTACGAGCACGGTTCGAGGCCAGAAGTCCAGGAGTCGTTTAAATGCGTCGCTATCCGTTCAACTCCATTGTGTGCAAGACGAGCCAACGCCAAAGTTCTGTATAAAAGCAATGTGAACGTGCTTCCGAGGTGTGCCGTGGAGTCGTCTCTACTCTTCCAATCACAAACCACTGAACCAACTATTATTGTTGTAATAAAGATTATATCTAAACCAACAATAATCACTACAGTAAAGTTGTTCTAGATCTAGCAATTCAATTGCTTCAAAGCACATTTGAGCTCGACTTTTTCATCACATTTTGTTGGGAAATCGCTGTTTAATCAAATTCAAATAGAAAATCGAATTTTTACGTAATCTTTGATCTTCTGTTTGATCTTTTTGATTTGTTTAATCTTTTTTTCGTCTTAATCATGATCATATTCATTAAATAACTTTAAAAACGGCTTTCAAAAACCTTAAATTGAATCTTTCGCAAGGTGTACCGCGGCTCGAGATCTCGAGCAGATTGGCATGGATCGGCCTGTATAACGTCCCTTAGCTTGGCTTCTTTCACGACTTCTGGCCTCGAACCGTGCTCGTAATCTTCCAAAGTCTCGTCTCCCTCTCGGAATCGTTGAAACGTGAGGGTGAGGCAGGACTTCCCATCCAAATTCTTCGATTTTCTGCTGCGTGATTTTCGCAACATGTTGAAGTGACCGTTTTTCCATGTTCCCGTAATTCAAAGTACACCAAACCCTTGCTGTTCCACCATACAGACAATAAGATCTTCTTCACGTGGATTTCGGGCCTTGGGGTTGGAACAGGACGTTCGCCGGCGCTCAGCCACTGTCGTTCTCGCGTAAAGTTGTCGTATGCAATCCATTTCTCATCCGATGTCACGATAGAATCAAGAGATCCGCTATTCTTTGCACAATTCAGGGGAATGCCAGCGATGGAAATGCGGCAATGGATCCAATAGCGTGAAGATGGCGTTCGATGGTGACATGATCACAATGGAATATGGCCAGCAATGGAAATGCATCACTCTGTTGATGAGGAACCTATCTTTCACATCTTCTTTGCGCGATTCAGGAGAATGCCAGCGATGGAAATGCGGGATGCGAGGTTAGCATCACTGAGTTGATGAGGAACCCATCTTCCACAACGACTTTTCTATCCAATAGCGTGAAGATGGCGTTCGATGGTGACATGATCACAATGGAATATTTTCGCAAGATCTCGAGCAGATTTGCATGGATCGGCCTGAATAACGTCCCTTAGCTTGGCTTCTTTCACGCCTTCTGGCCTCGAACCGTGCTCGTAATCTTCCAAAGCCTCGTCTCCTTCTCGGAATCGTTGAAACCAAGTCTGACACTGCCTGAGAGACAAACTGCCATCTCCGAAAGCAGCACAGAGAGAACGATGCGATTTGGCAGCAGGCTTTCCAATTTTGAAGCTAAACAGTAATGCTGCTCGTAATCTTTTGCTCGATGATGATCTAAATAAAAAATATAAACATTTTTAAATAAAATAAACAACAACCAAAAAATTCAAATGTCGAAATAAATAGCAAACAAATATGCGAACAAAACATAAAAAAAATAATGCCATCAGCATCGCTCGTTTCTGATAAATGAGAGCTGATACCCATCGGCTGATACCCATCGGCTGATACCCATCGGCTGATACCCATCGGCTGATACCCATCGGCTGATACCCATCGGCTGATACCCATCGGCTGATACCCATCGGCTGATACCCATCGGCTGATACCCATCGGCTGATACCCAGTTTCTTTTGCACCACCCTAATAGAAGCGTCAATGAGTTAGAAAATTGGCTTGGCTATAGGGTCGCATCCGTTTCCTTCCTTTTTTGCGTTTCTATTTTGCAATTATTCGCGTCGCATTTTCGTCTCACTCTCTTCGCCAAATTGTTTTTTTGTTTGTTTTTTGAATAGAATTTTTGGTGTAGCTTCTCGCCCCTTTGGGCTTGGGGTTTTGCCTTCGTTCTTTCAGGATTTGATGTTTCTATTCATGCGCATGCTGTTTTTGGTATCGTTGCATTTTTGGTTCTGTACTAATAAACCATAAAATTATAAATCCGATTTACTTTACACTACCCTTAAGGTTCTAAATCCTATTTATTGGGTTGGGGAGAATGAGTCGGCGCCGAACTTTAAAGGGACTTTTTGCACACATAAAGCCTTCTTTAAACATACGTTTGGTTTCATCAAAAGGATCCACTATTTCTCTACAAAATCACTTTTGAGAGATTCCACAAAGCTTTTCTTTCGTGGAGTTTATGAACTTCGAAACGCAGCTGGTTAAAATGGCAAAGAGTCCGACTCATCATTTGAACAGTTTCTTTCACATAAACCTTCTTTGGTGTTTATATAAAAAAGATAGAGCACATTCAATTACTTAAGTTGCCAAATTTGCAGGAAGATCCCACCAATGGTTTTTTCTAGATCACAGTTTGTAGTTTTTGTGAAAAAATGGCTTTTTCTTGAGCGGAGGCGCTGTTTGAATTTTCTTTTAAATGTCATTTTGTAGAGAATTAGTTAACCATTCTACTCATATCAAACGCATATTATTTGACGAAGTCGAATAGAAGTTTTAGACATTTTTTTGATTTTCGGCTCCGTGTCATAGTCCCCAACCCAATAGAATAATTGATAAATCTTTTAGTGAATGTTTGTGGTGCTTTTTTGGTTGAAAGTAAAAATTTTAATGAAATGTGCAAGACGATTGCAAAAGAAGTCAAAGATTTGAAGACAATTACGAGAAAAAGGTTAATACGTGCGAGCTTGTGCAATAAAGAGGTACATAAAAATTTTCTATTATTTTTTTGGACGAAAGATGTCCTAAAAAAATCTACAACTTCTCTCTCATCATGTCCAGTCAGAACAGCGACTACTCTTTACTCTTTACAAGTTTTTTTGTTTTGAAAAAGAATTTAGATTATAACTGCTCATTTTATCTCGAAAGAAGATGGTTTTAGGAAAAGTTTTTTATTGGTCGCGTCCGTTCCCTTCCTATTTCCGGTCCTATTTGCATTGAATTTGCGTCGCATTTTCGTCTCACTCTCTTCCCCAACTTGTTTTTGTTTGTTTTTGTTTGTTTTTTGAATAGAATTTTTGGTGTAGCTTCTGGCCCCTTTGGGCTTGGGTTTTTGCCTTCGTTCTTTCAGGATTTGATGTTTCTATTCATACGCATGCTGTTTTTGTAATGGGTATCGTTGTATTTTTGGTTCTATACTAATAAACAGTAATTCAATTCAATTATAAATTCAATTTACTTTATGCTACCCTTCAGATTTTAAATCCTTTTTAGATAACTGGTTTAACACTGTAGAAAGAACTTACAAACATTTGTGTCGCCATCGACGAAGTATCAATTAGTTCTGTACTTTTATCACGAGTATTAACCTTATGTTGGATTCTGCGTTTTCTTGTTATGTTCTTGTTATGTTGAACCATATTGGAACCATATTGGAACCATATTGAAACCATATTGGAACCGTATTGGAACCGTATCCGAACCATATTGGAACCATATTGGACCCATATTGGAACCATATTGGACCCATATTGGAACCATATTGGAACCGTATTCGTACCATATTGGAACCATATTGGAACCATATTGGAACCGTATTGGGACCGTATCCGAACCATATTGGAACCGTATCCGAACCATATTGGAACCGTATCCGAACCATATTGGAACCGTATCCGAACCATATTGGAACCATATCTGCGTTTTCTTGTTATGTTCTTGTTATGTTGTAAGCGTTTTGGGGAAACCCTTTTAACCTTTTTGTGCTAGTCGGCTTTTCTGAAGCAAAGTCATCCCCGATGACTTTGCTTTGATAAGGTTAAAGCGGTTTCGCACCCCAAACTATAGGAAACATACTTAAAATTGATCTCCAAAAATTTCCTACAAATTCATTGAGTTCTCGCTGAGTTAGACCTGCAGAAGTGAGTCGCGGTAGAACAAATTTCGGGCAAATCGCCTCTTTGTAAGTCTTTCAAGAGAATTGTAAGGAAGCTATGTGAAACAATCAATAAAAAAAACAAATTTTAACTTTAATCTTGGTAGATTACCCACTGGAAATCAAAGAAAAACCGATAAATTTATAGATTTTTTGCGCAAAGAGCAGAAATCAATCCGGGTATCGTTTCTTGTGCTCTTTTGAGATCGTTAAATGAGAAAGTGGCGTATTCATTGAGATTTTGGCCTGAAAATTTGCCTATTTAACCGTTTTTTTACCGATTCTCAAGTGTTTTTCATTTTTTTAAAGCTTAAAAAGCTTGTTTCACCGTTTAATCCAACTCCAATCGTTTGATTGATGCAGTTATTTTTGATCATTGTTGAATCGATGATGATTTGTGGACTAAAAGTTGGACAGTCAGTACCGTAATATGCAGAAAATTAGACAAAACTGAAATACTGGATTAGCTGAATTAGCGGAATTAGCTGAAATGAATTAGCAATCCAGTAAAACTCGTTAAAACTAAGCCACCTGTTAGTGAAGAGCACAGTGATCACACTCTTAAACCCATCTTCAGCATCCATAGCCGCAATTGCACTAAAATTGTTTGTACATTAGCTGAATTAGCTGAATTTTGAGCTTTTCAGATTAGTTACTTACTCAGAAATTGTTAAATTTTCTGGAACACCATTCGTGAGCGCGGTAAGAGCACTGAGAAAATCGGGAAACTCTGAGTACAAAGCGGCTGGATCGGGATCTCCGAAAAGGTACTGAAATTGAGTTTTTGGTAGTTTTAAAAGCTTGTTTTAAAGCTATTTTTGAAAAGCTAGTTTTGAAAGTTATCTCTAGAATTAAAATTCACAAGACTCGGTGCAGCTAAGCCACCGTAACCCTAACTCCATTAAAAGACGTTACAGCAATTGACATTAACAGGGTAGTACTATCGCCGCAAAGACAACATTAGCTTCATTAACTAGAAAAAATACAACTCTAGATATGGTAAGATCTACGGTGGTTACTAGACTTTTAACAAAAACATTTGTCGGTCTTTTTTATCGTTGATAAAAGGTTTTTCGTGTTTTTCTTAGCATCAACCCTTCTATTTTGTCTATTTTAACTACCATTCAATGCAGAATAAAATTATGCGTCGAATGATACTAAAATCAACTCGAAATATAATATCCATGCGAAGTTGTTGGCTAAAAACCTGAACCCCGCCCATTATGCGCGGGACTTGACCTTCTGCCTCATAACTTTGCATGGATATTATGTTTTGAGTTGATTTTAGTATCATTCGACGCGTAATTTTATTCTGCATCAAATGACAGTCAAAATAGACAAAAACAAAGGATTGATGCTGAGAAAAACACGAAAAACCTTTTGCCAACGGTAAAAAGACCCGACAGATGTTTTAGTTAAAAGTTTAGTGATTATGGTACCGGTTCCGGTGGCTTAGGCGCACTTTACCTGTTCGGAAAAGGTTATGGAGTAAATTTAGACACAAACCGATCCATAAGCAGCCAAACTAGCACTCGTGTTGAGTGACGTCATTTGGAAAAAGTTTTTCGCAATTGTACTCGCAAGATTTCTTTGTGCCGAGAAAGAGCTCTAAAATGAAAAGCCACAAATGAAAACTTTATAAAATGCTGTATTTGAACTGTATTTGAACTGTATTTGAACTGATTCACAGCTCAAAATACTATTTGAACCGATTCACAGCTCAAAATACTGTATTTGAACTGTTTGACAGCTCAAAATACTGTATTTGAACTGTTTGACAGCTCAAAATACTGTATTCGAACTGATTCACAGTTCAAAATACTGTATTCGAACTGTTTGACAGCTCAAAATACTGTATTTGAACTGATTAACAGTTCAGAATACTGTATTTGGACTGATTCACAGCTCAAAATACTATTTGAACTGATTCACAGCTCAAAATACTGTATTTGAACTGATTCACAGCTTAAAATACTGTATTTGAACTGTTTGACAGCTCAAAATACTGTATTCGAACTGTTTGACAGCTCAAAATACTATATTCGAACTGATTCCCAAGCAGTTCTCAATGAGAACATTCATTTTACTCACGTTTACATAGATTGTAGCATCAAGATAGAACAGAACCCTGCATTTATTCGTTTCTTGCGAGAAAGTTTGACTAAATGCTGAAAAAACCCTTTTTCAAGTGACACATTCGAACAATTTACCAATCAACAAAAAGATGAGAGCTGACTTTGTGAAGTGCATTGAGTTTGGGAAGATTTTTGATCGAACAAATGTCTTTGTTAACATTCTTTATCCTTTTATACAAAAACAAAGTACTTTATGACTCTATTTAGGCTAAATTATTTGATCAAACAATGTCTTTGTTGACATTTTTCTATTCAAAAAAACAAAACCCTTTATCACTTCAATTCGACTAAAAGAAATTTCCGGCAACTGCCTCTAAGAATAGTTTCTGAGAATAGAATGTTATCAGTGTTTGTGAAATGAAAAATGTCAGCTAAAATTTCAGCTAAAAATCGTCCCATTCATGTCCGCTCTTATCAGCTCTTTTCGATTTTTAAAGACTTAGAATTCTTTATTACATAGAAATAATTACATGAATCATACACTAGGATATTTATTTTCCGGCGGCGGCTCCAACAGCTCCTCCAGCGGCTCCAGCCAATCCTCCGGCTAATCCAGCTGTGGCCCCAACAGCTCCTCCGGCGGCTCCAGCCAATCCACCGGCCAATCCAGCCGTGGCTCCAACAGCTCCTCCAGCGAGTCCAGCAGCTCCACCAGCAAGTCCGGCAGCTGCTCCCACAGCTCCTCCCGCGGCTCCAGCAAGTCCACCGGCCAATCCAGCCGTGGCTCCAACAGCTCCTCCAGCGAGTCCAGCAGCTCCACCAGCAAGTCCGGCAGCGGCTCCCACAGCTCCTCCCGCGGCTCCAGCAAGTCCACCAGCGATTCCACTAGCTGCTCCGACAGCTCCTCCGACGAGTCCAGCAGCTCCCCCAGCAAGTCCGGCAGCGGCTCCCACAGCTCCACCAGCTGCTCCAGCAAGTCCACCAGCGATTCCAGTAGCGGCTCCAAGGGCTCCTCCTGCGGCTCCAGCCAATCCACCAGCAATTCCCGTAGCGGCTCCAGTGAGTCCACCGAGAGCACCAGTCAATCCACCGGCGATTCCAGCAGTAGCTCCGGTCAATCCGCCAGCCGCTCCAGCAAGTCCACCAGCCAATCCAGCTGTTGCTCCAAGGGCACCACCAGCAGCTCCAGTCACACCACCGAGGATTCCAGCAGCCGATCCAGTGAGGCCTCCAAGAGCTCCAGTGAGTCCTGAAATTGTTGTTGGACATTTGATATGTGCCTCGCCCCTTTGCCATTAGCAATCTAACTTTAAGCTCAAATTTCTTAGCGTTGAGCTGTTCAATTTAAGTATTCTTTATATCATTAGATGCGCCAAGTCTTTCTCTATCGATTGGTACAAAAACTATTTCATTTGGACAGCCCAACATCAAGAAATTTGAGCTTAAAGTTAGATTGCCAATGGCAAAAAGGCGAAGCGTCCAACAATCTTGTGAAATTGATTTTTTAGCCTAGAGTTTTAGCCTAAAGCCTAGAGTCATCTTTAAGTACTCGCCTCCTAATCCCAAATCCAATCGTTTGGCTCTCACTATGTGCACATCTGGACTCCTAAAACGATAGTTAATTCAAATTAATTCATAGTTCACCAACCTGCAGAAACCAGCAGAAAAGCAAGCGAAGAGAAGAATGGCGACTCGGAAGGAAACCATTATTACCCGCCTAAATCTTGGTATTTAAAAGTTTGTAAAATCAAAGAACGGAAATCAAATCACAACAATGAATCGAAAGACAAATGATTGTATCAGAATAGTTAAAGAAACTGTAAGCAGTAATAGCCAGCTCTAGATTTGTCTAGCCAGCTCTCGATTTGTCTAGCCAGCTCTCGATTTGTCTAGCCAGCTCTCGATTTGTCTAGCCAGCTCTCGATTTGTCTAGCCAGCTCTAGAGTTGTCTAGCCAGCTCTAGAGTTGTCTAGCCAGCTCTAGAGTTGTCTAGCCAGCTCTAGAGTTGTCTAGCCAGCTCTAGATTTGTCTAGCCAGCTCTAGATTTGTCTAGCCAGCTCTAGATTCGTCTAGCCAGCTCTAGATTCGTCCCTAAAGCTTTTTCAGACTAGTCACGACTAGAACGAAACAAGAAACCAGTCATCGCCTAGTCCGCCTTCTAGATCTAGTCCGTAAAAGTTCGTGGGCTGAATAGAGCTCAGGTTTAGGCTTAATCTTGATCTAGCTTGGCTTAATATTGATCTAGCTTGGACCAGCTAGCTCTGAATCTAATCTAAGTCTAGCCTCATGCTTTTTTAGAACATTGAATTGTATTTAGAAGCTACCGAGTACGGCAGAGTCTATCCAGTCTTCAGATTTCCTTCGTATACTGTATTTTTCAGTATACTGGTGCACCGAACAGTATAATTATTGTACTGAATAGAGCCTAGATCTAGGCCTAATCTAGCTTGAACCAGCTAGCTCTGAATCTACTGTCGATTCTTTACTGGGAGATACAGCATTCAACTGAAGACTGGAGATTGAAGGATTCATTGTTTTGAATGTATCAGATGTTTGAATGTATCAGGTGTTTGAAATGAATGTAATGTATCATAAAAGTATAATTAATACATCCAATTGTATGCAAATTCTTGAAAATCAACAAAGATAATATAAAAACAAGCAAAAGTGATGATTTTTTGATGATCCAAGGCATCTTTTATACTCGATTTTCTCCAAGAACACCACTTTTTTTCATTTCTCCGTTCGTTCCACTGTTTCGATATAGTATTTAGGGTAAAAGAATAATTGATAACAAGAAAAGCGACACGAATATTAAACGAGTTTCACTGTTTTTAAAAACAAAATTCAAAATTTTCACGATCAGCGAGTTCCACCGTGCAAAAAAATTCATTTCCCTGATTTCGTTGGTCGATTTTTGTGATCATTTTTCTCTTAATAGATGTTTAAAGCAAATTTAAACCGTTTAAATCAAATTTATTAAACATTTTAAGGTTTTAAGGGCTAAAAAAGGCTTTAAATTATTATAGTTTTATATAGAATTTATATAATGGGTTGGTGAATTGAAAACTGGACTTTGAACGGGACTTTGAACGGGACTTTGAACTAAAATTTATTCAACATAAAACCAGAAATTCATTCCAAATAATTTCCATTATTATTGACGACTTCTGCCCATTTTACAGCCAATTTGCGGATTCCTCTTTCGTAGTAGGATTTTCGTTTTGAATCGAAAAACTTTCAAAGCCAATTTTTGACTGCTTCTTCTGAATCGAAGTGTTCTCCCGCAAACTCACTACTCATGATCCGGAATAAATAGTAATCAAAAGGGGCGAGGTCCGGACTGTATGGGGAATCCGTCAAAAGTTCCCAAACAAGGCTATTTATTTTGCAAAGAACCAAATCTGCAGCGAACCGGAACCAAAGCTTTACCGAAAAGGAACCAAATCTGTAGAGAAAGCGAACCAAATCTGTACCGAAAAGGAGCCGAATCTGTAGCCGAATCTGATCCATAACTGAATCCAAAACTATTGGGTTGTTAAATTGAAAACTGCAGGACTTTGAATCAAGCCTTTGAAGAAATCTCTGCAGAAGGTGTGGGCAGACCTCGATGTTAGCTATTGGTTCAACATAAAACCATGAATTCATTCCAAATAATTGCCATTATTATTGACGACTTCTGCCCATTTTAAAGGCAATTTGCGGATTCCTCTTTCGTAGTAGGATTTTGGTTTGTGTGTGAGACAAGTGTGAGACTCAAAAATGGAGGACTGGAGATGTCAGCTGTCAGCCCATTTTGAGCACTTTCTTCAAAAGAAACCTATTTTGGTGTCAATAGAAAAGTTGTAGAGAATCAAAAATGAGGCTTATAGCAAAATTTCCAAAAAGATACACTTAGTAGTTTCGCTTAAAATGCAAGTTTTGTGAAAATTTGGCATTCCTTTTGTGTAAATTTAGCATTTCTCGAAAACCAGTTGTTGAATCGTTCTGAAAATTTGGATATAAGCTTAATTTTTGATTCTCTACAACTTTTCCATTGACACCAAAATGGGTTTCTTTTGAAGAAAGTGCTCAAACTGTCAGATATGACAATAGCCCGGAGTTTTCAGTTCACCAACCCAATAGATTTTAAGCAATCATCGTGAGTTTTCAAACCTCTGTTTCAGTCGATTCCAAAGCTGTTTCAGTCAATAATATCACTTGTCTCTAGCAATATTAGCGATTGAATTTAGTTTTAGCATTTTGTAATCGAATAAAGAAATGAATGAGAAAGAATTTGGAGCCGAGGGGGAATTTGGAGCCGACTTGTTGCTTACCAGGCAGATGCTCTAAGCACCGGAAATGGCTTTAAAATTCCATTAACCCAAAAACGGAGAATCTTTGTTCCTATCAGATCTAGTAATTCAGCTTCAAAGCACATTTGAATCAAAAACCGGTGAAGTTTCAATCCATCAGCGATTCCCGTAGCGGCTCCAGTGAGTCCACCGAGAGCACCAGTCAATCCACCGGCGAGTCCAGCGGTAGCTCCGGTCAATCCGAGCCGAAAGTTTTCTCGAGCAAGTCCACCAACTGCTAAATTTAGTCAACTTCCATTTTGCAAAATTCAACGGATCGGTGAAACGCATTTCACTAGATTTAGCGCCAAACAATGTTTGCTTTCTTCTTGCTGACTGACAAGGCTAGCCAAATGACATGATCTATTGATCATTTGACGTAGAATTTCCCGCTGAATCCGAATCTGCTTTCCGTTTTTGCTAAATTGCACTCTATCAAAAGTTATACGCATTTAAAGTTTTGTAAGGATTTTAAAAATCAAACACATAGACCTTAAAACCGGACTTTTAAGACTAAGAAAGTGGTAGTAGGCTAGAAACGGTTGGCGGAGTGGTAGTAGGTTAGAAAACGAAACAGGAATCGAATCGAATCAGCCGACTTTTTGTTTTTCTTTTTTAAGTTTTAAATGGCTTGGGTGTACTTCGCTTTCAATTCGCGATTTTTAGCTAATTTTTTTTTACGAAAACATTCATTTTTAACACATAAGGCTTAAGTAAAACAATAATAGAAATAATTCAACAATTGTGACACTTGATGAAGTGTCACAATTGTGTCTTGAAGTGTTACAATTGTGTCTTGAAGTGTCACAATTGTCGATGAAGTCGTAGAAGCATGTGGAAGCGTTTATTGTCATTCCAGAAACGAGTTTATCCCAAAAAAGGACATTTTTCTTTGGAAAAACTTGTCGTCGAGGCAATAGTCATATCATAACGAAAGCTCATGTCACCGATTACTTACAAAAGTTTAGACCGGTATAACTTTTGACAGATTGCTGTTTAGCAAAAACGCAAAAGCTCAGCATGCTTAGCGTGAGATTCTGCATCGAATGGTCATTTGTTATTTTTCATTTGTCATATGTCAATGTCAATGTCGAATGGCATATGTTATTTGACCAGCCTATCGTCCTTGTTCGCTTTATAATATCATTGGATATTCTGACAACATCAGAATATTCCAATCTACCAGAATAAAACTTAATTTTGCTAAATTTAGCACTTAGTATTTAGAAAAGTTGCTAAATTTTAAATTGATAAATCGATTTAGCAAAATTAGTAAATGCTAAACTATTAATGCTAAATTACTAGATGGTTGGTTAATAGTTTGGTGGATTCGAGCCCAGGTGATCAAGCCGGGTCTAGGCTACACCTTTGTACATTCAGGGAACATTTTGCTACTACCAATTTTCGACTCAGAGCCATTTAGCTCGGGATTCCCTAGTCTATTAGACGCAAACCAGCTACAGAAAAACTCTCAAGATCTAGAAATGTGCTTTGAGCACTGAAGACCAAACGTTTTGGCTGGCATTCTGACTCATTGTTGACTTCTGGAATGTTTTACTTCAGTGAAAGTGAAGTACAGAAGTAAGTCAGTTCATCTCACAAAATGGCAACGACTCAGAGCCATTTAGCTCGGGATTCCCTAGTCGATTAGACGACCCAACTACAGAAAAACTCTCAAGATCTAGAAATGGGCTTTGAACACTGAAGACCAAAAGTTTTGACTGACTCAGACTGACACTCAGGGTCACAATCCAACTTTGACTGACTCATTGCTGACTTCTGAAATCTCTTACTTCAGTGAACAGAAGTAATCTCACAAATCTCAGTTCATCTCACAAAATATGAATCAACTCTAGCTCAATAACATCAAGAATTGAAGAAAGTGACATGATTTGACGTGTGAGCAGTCTTCCAACAAAACCAACCTTGATTTTTGATCATTTACAATACGGATAAAACTCAAAAATCTGATCTCCAAGCCAAAAATTCTCTCAAAATTACATCAAACCGAAAAAAGTCGATCTTTTTTTGACAAATTTTTCTTATTTTCCGGATTTCTCGCTCGGTCTCCGTTCCACTTGTCGTCAAAAAGAGCTTTGAAATCTCATTTCTTTTCCCTTAAAAAGTCTTATCGTTGAATATTGAGAAAAGATTTTAAAAAAATTGACATCTTTAGCGAATCGGGCGATTTTTGTTATAGTAAGTTTCTTTGATTTGATCTTGAAATAACGGAAAAGTGACAATGACAAAGAAATCTATAAATGCTAATCAAAATAGGAGAATAAACTTGAGAAAACGAATGAAATCCATATTTTTCAGTTCTTAGAAGTAGAACTAGGGTTTTGGCTTTGAAAATTAAACGACTTTGCTTTA